CCTTCCTTCCTTCCTTCCTTCCTTCCTTCCTTCCTTCCTTCCTTCCTGAGTGATTAGAATTCAGTATTGCAAGCTAACTCTATCCACAGCCTGGAGTTCGATCCTGACTGGCTCATGGTTGACTCAGTCTTCCATCCTTCTGAGGTTGGTAAAATGAGGACCCAGATTGTTGGGGGCCGGAGGCTGACTCTGTAAACCACTTAGAGAGGGCTGTAAAGGCACTGTGAAGCAATATATAAGTCTAAGGACTTTTGCTATTATAGTTCACCTCTGACCTCTTGGGCTGCATGGCTCACAACAAAATAACTGTAATACATTTTAAATTCAAATCTGGATCTCTCGATGCAAAATAATATTCCTTGATATCGGAATATTCCTGAATTCTAGCGCCACCAAGGCTCTGAAGAATCCTTTGCATAACGGTCCAAGGATTTTGGGGAAATGTAGCAAGGGTATTGTAGGATCATGTCAAATAAGCTACCTCTCAATGTAAATGAAAATAGAGTCTCAAGCAACAAATGCTGGTAGGAAATGCATTTATTTAGAAATGGAGGAAAACTAGATCTATAAACTGCTACATTTCTATGCCGGTTTTGCTATCTAAGCTAAGCTAGAGAAGACTTGGAAGATGGCAACATCTATTGGACGCTGAGTTTTAAAAGCTAAGCAGCATCAAGTCTGGTCACCATTTCAGTGGAGGACTGAGGAAGGATTCCAAGATGGTTGGTTTAAGTGGAAAAAGGCAACTTCTGTTGGAATAACAAGGCTGAAGTCAATGGAGTCAAACTTGACTCCAGATCTCCTTGCTGAAAACAGGAGAAGCTATTGGATTAGGACTTACTTGCCAAATGCTAGACTGTATGTGTGAACTACAGAATAAGCTTTCTTTTTCAACTCTATGGTGGAATTCTTTTCCTTCCCCTAATCCAATTTCCATTAGATGTCAACTTCACAGATGATTGACCAGCCGAGATCACAAATTCGATTATGCCACTGGCCATTTGGGTGCATTTCCACACATTTTTCGTAGCCAAGGTTATTTGGTTCTCCTGGAGCCCAGTTGAAAAATTGTAGGGGGTGGCCATTGAGATCTTCAAACTTCTTTTTAGCTGTGTTGTAAATGATTCCCAGAATTGCCTGTTCATTACGAAATGCTACTATTCCTTGGAGGGCGCTGTTCTCTGCCACATTTCTCGGCAAGGCAAGTTTGCTATTCATGTGTATGCATTTGGTGGTAGCAGCCTGGAAATCTCCTTTAGAGTCATCTCTTTTGAACATTTTCTCACCCACAATCCTTCCATTGGGAGCCAGGATCGCTAGAAGGAAGGAGAATCGCAAAATGTTGAAGTGCCCTCTTCACGTCTGCTGCAACCTGCCATTGTGCCATTATTATGTCTATGGCAGCTTAGTGGAAAGGAAAGTTTTTCAATCAAATATAAAAACATGGTCAGAAGCTAATCAAACAATGGGCCCATGGTCCAAAATAACTTTGTATCAGCAAGCAAATTGGACATCAAATTCATTTTTAATGGGGAGCCATTCATGGACTACCATGGGTTGTTCTAGATTGAGAGATTATATTTCAAATGAAGAGAACTAAAACCCCTAGGGTTGATCCGATTTATTGCAGCTCATTGCTCTAGTTAGGGATCTATACCTTGTTAACTAGATAGTCTTAGTTTAAAGTTTAACAATGCTTTTCATTTTTTTTCTTTAAAAAGTAAACCAATGCATCTCACAACATGAGATGCAACTAATGATATATGGAAGGAGGTTACTCTGTGATGTTCCCATCAGTGATGAGATTCAAATTATTTTACTACTGGTTCTGTGGGCGTGGCTTGGTGGGTGTGGCATGGCTTGGTGGGCGTGGCAGGGGAAGGATACTGCAAAATCCCCATTCCCTCCCCACCCACCAAACCTGCTTTATAGCTCCGTTCTCCTGTGCAGAGCAACCAAAGAAGACCCAGCTGATCAGCTGGGACTCAATAGGAGGCAGAGAAGAGATGGGGTTGGCAGGGCCATTCAAAGGTGGCATTGGCCGGTTCTCTGAACTACTCAAAATTTCTGCTACCGGTTCTCCAGAACTGGTCAGAACTGGCTGAATACCACCTCTGGTTCCCATCTCCATGCTTTATTTACTTGCCTTTTACATTGCAAGTAAGTAAGCATTAATGGCATCTTACTCTTTTATTCTTTTCTACATACCTTTTATATAAATTGGTTATGGATTTTTTAAAAATGTCCTTAACTACTTTAAACTGTTTTTTTGTCTAAAAAGTAAGATAATGCATTACACAACTTGAGAAGCAACTGGTGATATATTGAAAAGTGTAACCTCCGTAACACTCCCATGATCTCCATGCTTTACTTACTTGCATTTTACATTGCAAGTAACTGAACATTAATTGCATCTTAGTCTTTTATTCTTTTCTACGTGCC